AGTAGGCCTCCAGCAAGTGGTAACTGCCATAGTGAGGCCTATCAGTAGGCCTCCAGCAAGTGGTATGCCATAGTGAACGTTGGCCTATCAGTAGGCCTCCAGCAAGTGGTACTGCCATAGTGAGGGCCTATCAGTAGGGCCCCCAGCAAGTGGTACTTTCCATAGTGAAGGTTGGCCTATCAGTAGGCCTCCAGCCAGTGGTACTGCCATAGTGAAGGTTGGCCTATCAGTAGGCCCCCAGCAAGTGGTACTGCCATAGTGAAGGTGGCCTATCAGTAGGCCTCCAGCAAGTGGTACTGCCATAGTGAACGTTGGCCTATCAGTAGGCCTCCAGCAAGTGGTACTGCCATAGTGAAGGTTGGCCTATCAGTAGGCCTCCAGCAAGTGGGACTGCCATAGTGAAGGTTGGCCTATCAGTAGGCCTCCAGCAAGTGGTACTGCCATAGTGAACGTTGGCCTATCAGTAGGCCTCCAGCAAGTGGTACTGCCATAGTGAGGGTTGGCCTATCAGTAGGCCTCCAGCAAGTGGTACTGCCATAGTGAAGGTTGGCCTATCAGTAGGCCTCCAGCATGTGGTACTGCCATAGTGAAGGTTGGCCTATCAGTAGGCCTCCAGCAAGTGGGACTGCCATAGTGAAGGTTGGCCTATCAGTAGGCCTCCAGCAAGTGGTACTGCCATAGTGAACGTTGGCCTATCAGTAGGCCTCCAGCAAGTGGTACTGCCATAGTGAGGGTTGGCCTATCAGTAGGCCTCCAGCAAGTGGTACTGCCATAGTGAAGGTTGGCCTATCAGTAGGCCTCCAGCAAGTGGTACTGCCATAGTGAGGGCCTATCAGTAGGCCTCCAGCAAGTGGGACTGCCATAGTGAAGGTTGGCCTATCAGTAGGCCTCCAGCAAGTGGTACTGCCATAGTGAGGGCCTATCAGTAGGCCTCCAGCAAGTGGGACTGCCATAGTGAAGGTTGGCCTATCAGTAGGCCTCCAGCAAGTGGTACTGCCATAGTGAAGGTTGGCCTATCAGTAGGCCTCCAGCAAGTGGTACTGCCATAGTGAAGGTTGGCCTATCAGTAGGCCTCCAGCAAGTGGTACTGCCATAGTGAGGGCCTATCAGTAGGCCTCCAGCAAGTGGGACTGCCATAGTGAAGGTTGGCCTATCAGTAGGCCTCCAGCAAGTGGTACTGCCATAGTGAAGGTTGGCCTATCAGTAGGCCTCCAGCAAGTGGACTGCCATAGTGAAGGTTTGGCCTATCAGTAGGCCTCCAGCAAGTGGTACTGCCATAGTGAACGTTGGCCTATCAGTAGGCCCAGCAAGTGGTACTGCCATAGTGAGGGTTGGGCCCATCAGTAGGCCTCCAGCAAGTGTACTTGCCATAGTGAAGGTTGGCCTATCAGTATGCCTCCAGCAAGTGGTACTGCCATAGTGAGGGCCTATCAGTAGGCCTCCAGCAAGTGGGATGCCATAGTGAAGGTTGGCCTATCATAGGCCTCCAGCAAGTGGTACTGCCATAGTGAAGGTTGGCCTATCAGTAGGCCTCCAGCAAGTGGTACTGCCATAGTGAAGGTTGGCCTATCAGTAGGCCTCCAGCAAGTGGTACTGCCATAGTGAACGTTGGCCTATCAGTAGGCCTCCAGCAAGTGGTACTGCCATAGTGAGGGTTGGCCTATCAGTAGGCCTCCAGCAAGTGGTACTGCCATAGTGAAGGTTGGCCTATCAGTAGGCCTCCAGCAAGTGGTACTGCCATAGTGAGGGCCTATCAGTAGGCCTCCAGCAAGTGGGACTGCCATAGTGAAGGTTGGCCTATCAGTAGGCCTCCAGCAAGTGGTACTGCCATAGTGAAGGTTGGCCTATCAGTAGGCCTCCAGCAAGTGGTACTGCCATAGTGAAGGTTGGCCTATCAGTAGGCCTCCAGCAAGTGGTACTGCCATAGTGAACGTTGGCCTATCAGTAGGCCTCCAAAGTGGTACTGCCATAGTGAGGGTTGGCCTATCAGTAGGCCTCAGCAAGTGGTACTGCCAAAAGTGAAGGTTGGCCTATCAGTAGGTCTCCAGCAAGTGGTACTGCCATAGTGAGGGCCTATCAGTAGGCCTCCAGCAAGTGGTACTGCCATAGTGAAGGTTGGCCTATCAGTAGGCCTCCAGCAAGTGGTACTGCCATAGTGAGGGCCTATCAGTAGGCCTCCAGCAAGTGGGACTGCCATAGTGAAGGTTGGCCTATCAGTAGGCCTCCAGCAAGTGGTACTGCATAGTGAAAAGGGTTTGGGCCCATCAGTAGGCCTCCAGCAAGTGGTACTGCCATAGTGAAGGTTGGCCTATCAGTAGGGCCTCCAGCAAGTGGTACTGCCATAGTGAAGGTTGGCCTATCAGTAGGCCTCCCGCAAGTGGTACTGCCATAGTGAAGGTTGGCCTATCAGTAGGCCTCCAGCAAGTGGTACTGCCATAGTGAAGGTTGGCCTATCAGTAGGCCTCCAGCAAGTGGTACTGCCATAGTGAAGGTTGGCCTATCAGTAGGCCTCCAGCAAGTGCTACTGCCATAGTGAGGGTTGGCCTATCAGTAGGCCTCCAGCAAGTGGTACTGCCATAGTGAAGGTTGGCCTATCAGTAGGCCCTCCAGCAAGTGGTACTGCCATAGTGAGGTTGGCCTATCAGTAGGCCTCCAGCAAGTGGTACTGCCATAGTGAAGGTTGGCCTATCAGTAGGCCTCCAGCAAGTGGTACTGCCATAGTGAAGGTTGGCCTATCAGTAGGCCTCCAGCAAGTGGTACTGCCATAGTGAAGGTTGGCCTATCAGTAGGCCTCCAGCAAGTGGTACTGCCATAGTGAAGGTTGGCCTATCAGTAGGCCTCCAGCAAGTGGTACTGCCATAGTGAGGGTTGGCCTATCAGTAGGCCTCCAGCAAGTGGTACTGCCATAGTGAAGGTTTTGGGCCCATCAGTAGGCCTCCAGCAAGTGGTACTGCCATAGTGAAGGTTGGCCTATCAGTAGGCCTCCAGCAAGTGGTACATGCCATAGTGAAGGTTGGCCTATCAGTAGGCCTCCAGCCAGTGGTACTGCCATAGTGAAGGTTGGCCTATCAGTAGGCCTCCAGCCAGTGGTACTGCCATAGTGAAGGTTGGCCTATCAGTAGGCCTCCAGCAAGTGGTACTGCCATAGTGAAGGTTGGCCTATCAGTAGGCCTCCAGCAAGTGGTACTGCCATAGTGAAGGTTGGCCTATCAGTAGGCCTCCAGCAAGTGGTACTGCCATAGTGAAGGTTGGCCTATCAGTAGGCCTCCAGCCAGTGGTACTGCCATAGTGAGGGTTGGCCTATCAGTAGGCCTCCAGCAAGTGGTACTGCCATAGTGAAGGTTGGCCTATCAGTAGGCCTCCAGCCAGTGGTACTGCCATAGTGAAGGTTGGCCTATCAGTAGGCCTCCAGCAAGTGGTACTGCCATAGTGAACGTTGGCCTATCAGTAGGCCTCCAGCAAGTTAACACCTCCATCATCTAGTTAACACCTCCATCATCTAGTTAACACCTCCATCATCTAGTTAACACCACCATCATCTAGTTAACACCTCCATCATCTAGTTAACACCTCCATCATCTAGTTAACACCTCCATCATCTAGTTAACATCTCCATCATCTAGTTAACATCTCCATCATCTAGTTAACACCTTCTCCATCTAGTTAACACCTCCATCATCTAGTTAACACCTCCATCATCTAGTTAACACCTCCATCATCTAGTTAAACACTCCATCATCTAGTTAACACCTCCATCATCTAGTTAACACCTCCATCATCTAGTTAACACCTCCATCATCTAGTTAACACCTCCATCATCTAGTTAACACCTCCATCATCTAGTTAACACCTCCATCATCTAGTTAACACCTCCATCATCTAGTTAAAAACCTCCATCATCTAGTTAACACCTCCATCATCTAGTTAACACCTCCATCATCTAGTTAACACCTCCATCATCTAGTTAACACCTCCATCATCTAGTTAACACCTCCATCATCTAGTTAACACCTCCATCACTAGTTAACACCTCCTCATCTAGTTAACACCTCCATCATTTTAGTTAACTCCTCCATCATCTAGTTAACACCTCCATCATCTAGTTAACACCTCCATCATCTAGTTAACACATCCATCATCTAGTTAACACCTCCATCATCTAGTTAACTCCTCCATCATCTAGTTAACACCACCATCATCTAGTTAACACCTCCATCATCTAGTTAACACCTCCTCCTTCTAGTTAACACCTCCATCATCTAGTTAACACCTCCTCCTTCTAGTTAACACCTCCATCATCTAGTTAACTCCTCCATCATCTAGATGGACAGGGTACTGTCTGTTTCCCACTTGTAGGCCTTGACTTGCAGGCCTACAGGTCTCACCATGTGTCTTCCATAGGCCTATATATTAACTTTATCCAATTTTAGATAGTATTTTACCCTCGGAAATATATGGAGTTAGTGTAATGGTGGGTATACACGCCTCTGTGTATGTATACACGCCTCTGTATGTATACACGCCTCTGTGTATGTATACACGCCTCTGTGTATGTATACACGCCTCTGTGTATTATACACCGCCTCTGTGTATGTATACACCCTCTGTGTATGAAATACAGGGGCCTATTTATGTATACACGCCTCTGTGTATATATACACGCCTCTGTGTATGTATACACGCCTCTGTGTATATGTACACGCCTATGTGTATGTATACACGCCTCTGTGTATGTATACACGCCTCTGTGTATGTATACACGCCTCTGTGTATGTATACAGGGAGATATATATACCATGTGGAGGTTGAGTGCTTGGCAGAGTGGTTGATGGGTTGGTTGAGTGTTTAGCAGAGTGGTTGATGGGTCGGATGATTGCTTAGCAGAGTGGTTGAGGGGTTTGGGTGAGTGCTTAGCAGAGTGGTGATGGTCGGATGAGTGCTTAGCAGAGTGGTTTTGATGGGTTGGGTTGAGTGCTTGCAAGTGGTTGAGGGGTTCGGTTGAGTGCTTGGCAGAGGGGTTGATGGGTCGGATGAATGTTTGATCGAGTTGACTGGGAGTGCACAGTGGATCAGATGACACAGGTGGAGCGTCCGTGCACACACTGTATTACCATACACGTAGGTGTCTGTATACACATACACCAGAAAATGTTGCACTCGTAGAGTGTATAAAACTAGGACACTTAGAGAATGAGAGAAAGAGAGAGCAAGAGAAAGAGAGACAACACACACTCACACATCCACACACACACACACACACACACACACACACACACACACACACACACACACACAGGAGCTGTGACTCGACCCCTGCAACCACAAATAGGTGAGTACAAATAGGTGAGTACACACATACACACACACACACACACACACACACACACACACACACTAGACTGACTCGTGTTTTTCGCAGTTCTTTCCACTCATTATCTCTGTTTCATTTTCCATGTGTGAATCTAATTCCCTTCGATACCATGGTAAGCAAACACTTGACTCCACTTAGGGCGCCCTAAGAAAAGGGGGCATCAATCAGGGAACAGGTACAGGGCGAGTTATGGTTTGGTCTGGGGAGGTCCCCTGGTATATAAAGGCCTTCTGGTCTCGCAGCCTCCTGGTCTCTCAGCCTTCTGGTCTCTCTAAAGTGGCCGGGTCTAGCAGGATCTCACTGTTTTGTCTCGTGATGCTGTGGCCATCAATTTTGGACACTTTCGAGGCCTGAAAAAGCAAGGAAATATAACGTTAATCACTTTCCCACCTCTGTGCAATGTTCCGTCAAAATCTGAGAATCCCCGAGTCAAAATCTACATGAGGACGCTCGCGTACACGTACATTTACTGAACAAATGTACTGACATGTACACCAGCGTCGTTTTATAGTGTGTTTGTAACAGGAAATTGATTACGAGTGTGAAAGGTTATGTTACAGGCGAGTACAAACACAGACGAGAGGTCACAGAACGAGTACCAGGTGAGACTTCGTTACACTTCTGATATGGATTGTTTTGGTCGAGACTTTTACGTCACAGTGGTAGAGTGTTGTAGAGGACGTAGAAGTTAACGTCAGAGTACCAGGAACATCACTAGTGGAAGACAGAGTGTTGTAGAGGACGTAGAAGTTAACGTCAGAGTACCAGGAACATCACTAGTGGGAGACAGAGTGTTGTAGAGGACGTAGAAGTTAACGTCAGAGTACCAAGAACATCACCAGTGGGAGACAGAGTGTTGTAGAGGACGTAGAAGTTAACGTCAGAGTACCAGGAACATCACTAGTGGGAGACAGAGTGTTGTAGAGGACGTAGAAGTTAACGTCAGAGTACCAAGAACATCACCAGTGGGAGACAGAGTGTTGAGAGGACCGTAAAGGGTAACGTCAAGGTACCAGGAACATCACTAGTGGGAGACAGAGTGTTGTAGAGGACGTAGAAGTTAACGTCAGAGTACCAAGAACATCACCAGTGGGAGACAGAGTGTTGTAGAGGACGTTAGAATTTAAAACGTCAGAGTACCAGGAACATCACTAGGGGGAGACAGAGTGTTGTAAGGACGTAGAAGTTAACGTCAGAGTCCCAAACATCACCAGTGGGAGCAGAGTGTTTAGAGGACTAGAAGTTAACGTTAGAGAAACCAAGAACCATCACCAGTGGGAGCAGAGGTTTGTAGAGTACGTTAGAAGTTAAACGTCCAGAGGACCAGAACATCACCAGTGGGAGACAGTGTTGTAGAGGACGTAGAAGTTAACGTCAGAGTACCAAGAACATCACCAGTGGGAGACAGAGTGTTGTAGAGGACGTAGAAGTTAACGTCAGAGTACCAGGAACATCACCAGTGGGAGACAGAGTGTTGTAGAGGCGTAGAAGTTAACGTCAGAGTACCAGAACATCACCAGGGGGAGACAGAGTGTTGGAGGACGAAAAGTTAACGTCAGAGTACCAGGAACATCACCAGTGGGAGACAGAGTGTTGTAGAGGACGTAGAAGTTAACGTCAGAGTACCAGGAACATCACCAGTGGGAGACAGAGTGTTGTAGAGGACGTAGAAGTTAACGTCAGAGTACCAGGAACATCACCAGTGGGAGACAGAGTGTTGTAGAGGACGTAGAAGTTAACGTCAGGGGACCAGGAACATCACAGTGGGAGACGAGTGTTTAGAGAGACTTAGAATTTTAACGTCAAAAGGACCGGGAACATCACCAGTGGAGACAGAGTTGTAGAGGACGTAGAAGTTAACGTCAGAGTACCAGGAACATCACCAGTGGGAGACAGAGTGTTGTAGAGGACGTAGAAGTTAACGTCAGAGGACCAGGAACATCACCAGTGGGAGACAGAGTTTTTTGTAGAGGACGAAGAATTAACGTCAAGGACCGGGAACATCACCAGTGGGAACAGAGTGTTGTAAAAACGTAGAATTTAACGTCAGAGACCAGAACATCACCAGGGGGAGACAGAGTGTTGTAGAGGACGTAGAAGTTAACGTCAGAGGACCAGGAACATCACCAGTGGGAGACAGAGTGTTGTAGAGGACGTAGAAGTTAACGTCAGAGGACCAGGAACATCACCATGGAACAGAGTGTTTAGAGGACTTTAGAATTTTAACGTCAGAGGACCAGGAACATCACCAGTGGGAGACAGAGTGTTGTAGAGGACGTAGAAGTTAACGTCAGAGGACCAGGAACATCACCAGTGGGAGACAGAGTGTTGTAGAGGACGTAGAAGTTAACGTCAGAGGACCAGGAACATCACCATTTGGGAGACAGATGTTGTAGAGACGTAGAAGTTAACGTCAGAGTACCAGGAACATCACCAGTGGGAGACAGAGTGTTGTAGAGGACGTAGAAGTTAACGTCAGAGGACCAGGAACATCACCAGTGGGAGACAGAGTGTTGTAGAGGACGTAGAAGTTAACGTCAGAGTACCAGGAACATCACCAGTGGGAGACAGAGTGTTGTAGAGGACGTAGAAGTTAACGTCAGAGTACCAGGAACATCACCATTTGGGAGACAGAGTGTTGTAGAGACGTAGAAGTTAACGTCAGAGTACCAGGAACATCACCAGTGGGAGACAGAGTGTTGTAGAGGACGTAGAAGTTAACGTCAGAGTACCAGGAACCCATCACCATGGGACAGAGTGTTGTAGAGGACGTAGAAGTTAACGTCAGAGTACCAGGAACATCACCAGTGGGAGACAGAGTGTTGTAGAGGACGTAGAAGTTAACGCAAGTAACCAGGAACATCACCAGTGGGAGACAGAGTGTTGTAGAGGACGTAGAAGTTAACGTCAGAGTACCAGGAACATCACCAGTGGGAGACAGAGTGTTGTAGAGGACGTAGAAGTTAACGTCAGAGTACCAGGAACATCACCAGTGGGAGACAGAGTGTTGTAGAGGACGTAGAAGTTAACGTCAGAGTACCAGGAACATCACCAGTGGGAGATCTACAACATAATTATTCATGGGAGAGACCCTCATAACAGAGTCTACATCAGACGTCTACAACACCGACAATTTGATGTATTGGGCCACACGTAGCGACATCTGGGTGTCTATATCTTGTAGACGTTTCGACCACCAGTGACTTTTATCAGTACAATACAAGGGTCAAAATGTGTTAACATTAGAAGGTCAGGCAATCAGTCCCTCAGTCTTGTAGAATTTTGACTGAGGAAAACCCCAGGGGTTCACTTACTGTGGAGTTATGACTATAAAGACCCCAGGGGTTCACTTACTGTGGAGTTATAACTACAAAGACCCCAGGGGTTCACTTACTGTGGAGTTATAACCATAAAAGACCCCAGGGGTTCACTTACTGTGGAGTTATAACCACAAAGACCCCAGGGGTTCACTTACTGTGGAGTTATAACTACAAAGACCCCAGGGGTTCACTTACTGTGGAGTTATAACTATAAAGACCCCAGGGGTTCACTTACCATGGAGTTATAACCATAAAGACCCCAGGGGTTCACTTACTGTGGAGTTATAGCTACAAAGACCCCAGGGGTTCACTTACCGTGGAGTTATAACCAAAAAGAACCCCGGGGGTTCACTTACTGTGGAGTTAAAACCCAAATAAAGACCCCAGGGGTTCACTTACTGTGGAGTTATAACCATAAAGACCCAAGGGGTTCACTTACTGTGGAGTTATAGCTACAAAGACCCCAGGGGTTCACTTACTGTGGAGTTATAACCATAAAGACCCCAGGGGTTCACTTACTGTGGAGTTATAACCATAAAGACCCCAGGGGTTCACTTACTGTGGAGTTATAGCTACAAAGACCCCAGGGGTTCACTTACTGTGGAGTTATAGCTACAAAGACCCCAGGGGTTCACTTACCGTGGAGTTATAACCATAAAGACCCCAGGGGTTCACTTACTGTGGAGTTATAACCATAAAGACCCCAGGGGTTCACTTACTGTGGAGTTATAGCTACAAAGACCCCAGAGGTTCACTTACTGTGGAGTTATAACCATAAAGACCCCAGGGGTTCACTTACCGTGGAGTTATAACCATAAAGACCCCAGGGGTTCACTTACTGTGGAGTTACAGCTACAAAGTCCCCAGGGGTTCACTTACCGTGGAGTTATAACCATAAAGACCCCAGGGGTTCACTTACTGTGAAGTTATAGCTACAAAGACCCCAGGGGTTCACTTACTGTGGAGTTATAGCTACAAAGACCCCAGGGGTTCACTTACCATGGAGTTATAACCATAAAGACCCCAGGGGTTCACTTACTGTGGAGTTATAGCTACAAAGACCCCAGGGGTTCACTTACTGTGGAGTTATAACTACAAAGACCCCAGGGGTTCACTTACTGTGGAGTTATAACCATAAAGACCCCAGGGGTTCACTTACTGTGGAGTTATAACCATAAAGACCCCAGGGGTTCACTTACTGTGGAGTTATAACCATAAAGACCCCAGGGGTTCACTTACTGTGAAGTTATAGCTACAAAGACCCCAGGGGTTCACTTACTGTGGAGTTATAGCTACAAAGACCCAGGGGTTTCACTTCCCAAAGGAGTTATAACCATAAAGACCCCAGGGGTTCACTTACTGTGGAGTTATAGCTACAAAGACCCCAGGGGTTCACTTACTGTGGAGTTATAACCATAAAGACCCAGGGGTTCACTTACTGTGGAGTTATAGCTACAAAGACCCCAGGGGTTCACTTACTGTGGAGTTATAGCTACAAAGATCCCAGGGGTTCACTTACTGTGGAGTTATAGCTACGAAGACCCCAGGGGTTCACTTACTGTGGAGTTATAGCTACGAAGACCCCAGGGGTTCACTTACTGTGGAGTTGTAACCATAAAGGCCTCAGGGGTTCACTTACCGTGGAGTTATAGCTACAAAGACCCCAGGGGTTCACTTATTGTGGAGTTATAACTATAAAGACCCCAGGGGTTCACTTACCATGGAGTTATAACCATAAAGACCCCAGGGGTTCACTTACCGTGGAGTTATAACTATAAAGACCCCAGGGGTTCACTTATTGTGGAGTTATAACTATAAAGACCCCAGGGGTTCATTTACCGTGGAGTTATAACTATAAAGACCCCAGGGGTTCACTTACTGTGGAGTTATAGCTACAAAGACCCCAGGGGTTCACTTACTGTGGAGTTATAACCATAAAGACCCCAGGGGTTCACTTACCTTGTAGTTATAACTATAAAGACCCCAGGGGTTCACTTACCGTGGAGTTATAGCTACAAAGACCCCAGGGGTTCACTTAATGTGGAGTTATATCCATAAAGACCCCAGGGGTTCACTTACTGTGGAGGTATAACCATAAAAACCCCAGGGGTTCACCTACCGTGGAGTTATAACTATAAAGACCCCAGGGGTTCTGTTATTGTGGAGTTATAACTATAAAGACCCCAGGGGTTCTGTTATTGTGGAGTTATAACTATAAAGACCCCAGGGGTTCATTTACCGTGGAGTTATAACTATAAAGACCCCAGGGTTCACTTATTGGGGATTAAAAACTAAAAAGACCCCAGGGTTCACTTACCAGGGAGTTATAACCATAAAGACCCCAAGGTTCACTTACCGTGGAGTTATAACTATAAAGACCCCAGGGGTTCACTTATTGTGGAGTTATAACTATAAAGACCCCAGGGGTTCACTTATTGTGGAGTTATAACTATAAAGACCCCAGGGGTTCATTTACCGTGGAGTTATAACTATAAAGACCCCAGGGGTTCACTTACTGTGGAGTTATAGCTACAAAGACCCCAGGGGTTCACTTACTGTGGAGTTATAACCATAAAGACCCCAGGGGTTCACTTACCTTGTAGTTATAAACTAAAAGACCCCAGGGTTCACTTACGGGGATTATAGCTACAAAGACCCCAGGGGTTCACTTACTGTGGAGTTATAACCATAAAGACCCCAGGGGTTCACTTACCTTGTAGTTATAACTATAAAGACCCCAGGGGTTCACTTACTGTGGAGTTATAGCTACAAAACCCCAGGGGTTAAACTTATTGTGGAGTATAACTATAAAGGACCCCAGGGTCATTTACCGTGAGTTATAACTATAAAGACCCAGGGGTTCACTACTGTGGGTTATAGCTACAAGACCCCAGGGGGTTCACTTACTGGGGAGTTATAACCATAAAGCCCCCAGGGTTCACTTACCTTTAGTTAAACTATAAAGCCCCCAGGGTTCATTACCGTGGAGTTATAGCTACAAAGACCCCAGGGGTTCACTTAATGTGGAGTTATATCCATAAAGACCCCAGGGGTTCACTTACTGTGGAGGTATAACCATAAAAACCCCAGGGGTTCACTTACCGTGGAGTTATAACTATAAAGACCCCAGGGGTTCTGTTATTGTGGAGTTATAACTATAAAGACCCCAGGGGTTCTGTTATTGTGGAGTTATAACTATAAAGACCCCAGGGGTTCATTTACCGTGGAGTTATAACTATAAAGACCCCAGGGGTTCACTTATTGTGGAGTTATAACTATAAAGACCCCAGGGGTTCACTTACCATGGAGTTATAACCATAAAGACCCCAAGGGTTCACTTACCGTGGAGTTATAACTATAAAGACCCCAGGGGTTCACTTATTGTGGAGTTATAACTATAAAGACCCCAGGGGTTCATTTACCGTGGAGTTATAACTATAAAGACCCCAGGGGTTCACTTACTGTGGAGTTATAGCTACAAAGACCCCAGGGGTTCACTTACTGTGGAGTTATAACCATAAAGACCCCAGGGGTTCACTTACCTTGTAGTTATAACTATAAAGACCCCAGGGGTTCACTTACTGTGGAGTTATGACTGTGAGAAGAGGCCGGCCTGGAGTTACTAGCGAAAGGTTCAAGGTTCCGTCTTGGTGTGGCCTCCTGACCCACCTCGTCAATGTACTCGACCTTCAGTCCCAAATCCTCGTCCTCATCTCCCTCGTCCTCGATGAAGTTGGGAATGTTGGATGGAACCACCAAAACCTTCTGAACCTCCTGTTCTTCCTGTTCTTTCTTCTTCTTGGTTCTGTGTTTGTTCCTCACCAGCTGGTTGGTGATCTTCTGTAGCTGTGGTAGACGCTGCGGCTCCTGTTGTTGTCGCTGCTGGACTTCTGTTGTGTCTTCTGTTAGCGTCTCACGGGAGGGAGACAACAGAGCCTTCTCGTCTAGAGACGTTCCCTTCCTGTGGGGGATGGATTAGACGTTTTATCTACGTATATATGCAAACATATATGTGCACACACACGCACACAGAGTGGATCTAGTAGCTACCAGGAAAGATTCAGGGCCAGGAGCTGTGAATCGACCCCTGCAACCACAATTAGGGTGAGTGTAGTACACGCACCTAGCACCACCATATAGTCGGGGGAGGGGAGATATGACAATGATATATGAAATACTTAAACGGCTTGGTAAAGATTGACATACAGATGAGGTGGACAACAGGTACACAAGGGCACAGTTGAGGTGGACAACAGGTACACAAGAGCACGGCTCAGGTGGACAACAGCTACACAACATCACAGGTAGGGCTGACAACTGGTACACAAGAGACAGTGGAGGCTGACAACAGGTACACAAGAGACAGTGGAGGCTGACAACAGGTACACAAGAGACAGTGGAGGCTCACAACAGGTACACAAGAGACAGTTGAGACTGACAACAGGTACACAAGAGACAGTGGAGGCTGACAACAGGTACACAAGAGACAGTTGAGACTGACAACAGGTACACAAGAGACAGTTGAGGCTGACAACAGGTGCGCAAGAGACAGTTGAGACTGACAACAGGTACACAAGAGACAGTTGAGGCTGACAACAGGTACACAAGAGACAGTTGATATTGACAACAGGTACACAAGAGACAGTTGAGGCTGACAACAGGTACACAAGAGATAGTTGAGGCTGACAACAGGTACACAAGAGACAGTTGAGGCTGACAACAGGTACACAAGAGACAGTTGAGACTGACAACAGGTACACAAGAGATAGTTGAGGCTGACAACAGGTACACAAGAGATAGTTGAGGCTGACAACAGGTACACAAGAGACAGTTGAGGCTGACAACAGGTACACAAGAGACAGTTGAGACTGACAACAGGTACACAAGAGATAGTTGAGGCTGACAACAGGTACACAAGAGACAGTTGAGGCTGACAACAGGTACACAAGAGATAGTTGAGGCTGACAACAGGTACACAAGAGATAGTTGAGGCAGACAACAGGTACATAAGAGATAGTTGAGGCAGACAACAGGTACATAAGAGATAGTTGAGGCTGACAACAGGTACACAAGAGACAGTTGAGGCTGACAACAGGTAAACCCAAAAATAGTTGAGGGTGACAACAGGTACACAAGAGATAGTTGAGGCTGACAACAGGTACATAAGAGATAGTTGAGGCTGACAACAGGTACACAAGAGACAGTTTTAGGCTGACAACAGGTTTCACAAGAGAGAGTTTAGGCTGACAAAAAGGTACACAAGAGACAGTTGAGGCTGACAACAGGTACACAAGAGACAGTTGAGGCTGACAACAGGTACACAAGAGACAGTTGAGGCTGACAAAAAGGTACACAAAAGATAGTTTTGAGGCTGACAACAGGTACACAAGAGACAGTTGAGGCTGACAACAGGTACACAAGAGATAGTTGAGGCTGACAACAGGTACACAAGAGACAGTTGAGGCTGACAACAGGTACACAAGAGACAGTTGAGGCTGACAACAGGTACACAAGAGACAGTTGAGACTGACAACAGGTACACAAGAGACAGTTGAGGCTGACAACAGGTACATAAGGGCACAGCAGTGGGTAACAAGTACACAGGGGGGGGGCAGCAGACTCACTTGCAGCAGACAGTGCAGCAGGCAGGTGTTGAGCAGAAGAAGAGCCTCAGCAGACAGAAGAGGAAGCCACAGCCTATCAGGCTGGGACCGATGAGTTGCAGCTCCTGGGACTTAAACCCATGTTCACCCATACCAATGAAGGTGATGATCAGACCTGAAGTATATTATTATTATTATTATTATTATTATTATTATTATTATTATTAAATTATTATTATTATTATTATTATTTTTAAAATTATTATTATTATTATTAAAAAATTATTTTTATTATTTTTTTTTTTATTTGTTTTTATTATTTTATTTTTATTATTTATTATGATAAATTTTTATTTTTTAATTATTATTATTATTATTATTTTATTTTTATTATTATTATTATTTTTATTATTTTTGTTATTATTATTATTATTTTTATTTTATTATTATTTTTTTTTAATTTTTATTATTTTGTTTTTAAATTAATTTTATTATTTTTTGATCATTTTTTTTATTATTATTATTATTATTATTTTATTATTATTTTTTTCATTAATATAATTTGTATTATTATTATTTTTATTTTTAAATTTTTATTATTATTTTTTATTATTATTTTTAATTTATTATTATTATTATTTTTTAATTTTTAAATTTTATTATTATTTTATTTTTTAATTATTTTTGTTTTATTATTATTTTTTATTTTTAATTTTTATTATTATTATTTTATTATTATTTTTATTTATTGTTAAAAATTATTTTTATTATTATTATATTTTTAAATTTTTATTTTTTTTATTTTTAATTTTTATTATTATTTTTATTATTATTATTTTTTATTATTATTATTTTTTTGGTTATTTTTATTTTTATTATTATTATTATGATAAATTTATTATTTTTATTATTATTATTATTATTTTTATTATTATTTTTAAATTATTATTCTTTTAATTTTTTTTTGTTTTAATTTTTATTATTATTTTTATTTTTTTTTTATTATTAATCTTTAATTTTTAAATAATTTTTAAATTTTTATTTTTATTTTTTTTAAATTATTTTTATTTTATTTTTATTTTTTAAAATTTATTATAATTATTATTATTATTATTTTTATTATTATTATTATTATTATTTTTATTTTTATTATTATTTTTATTATTATTAAAAATTATTATTTTTAAATTTTTATTATAATTATTATTATTTTTTATTATTTTTAAATTTTTTTATTATTTTTATTATTATTATTATTATAATTATTATTATTATTATTATTAAAATTTAATTATTATTATTTTTTATTTTTTTTTATTATTAAAATTAATTTTTAATTTTATTTATTTTTTATTATTAATTTTATTTTTTTTAAAATTATTTTTTAAATTTTTAAATTGTTAATTATTATTATTAATTATTTTTTATTATTATTATTATTTTTTTAAATATTTTTAAATTTTTTTTATTTTTTTTTAAAATTGTTATTTTTAAATTATTTTTATTATTATTATTTTTTATTTTTATTATTATTATTTTTAATTGTTTTTAAAATTAAATTATTTTATTATTATTATTATTATTTTTTATTATTATTATTTTATTATTTATTATTATTTTTATTATTATTATTATTTTTTATTATTTTTATTATTTTTTATTTTTATTATTATTTTTAAATTTATTATTTTTATTATTATTAATATTATTATTATTTTTTTATTGTTTTTAATTATTATTTTTAATTATTTTTAATTTTAAATTAAATTTTATTATTTTTAATTATTAATTATTTTTGTTATTATTTTTAATTATTATTGTTATTATTTTTATTTTTATTATCTTTTATTTTTATCATTATTATTTTTTAAATGATTATTATTAAAAATTAATTATTTCTTATTTTTCATTTTTTATCTTTTTTTTTTTAAATTATTATTTTTTTTTTATTATTATTATTATTATCATTTTTAAATTTATTATTATTAAAAATATTATTTTTATTTATTATTTTATTATTTTTTTATTATTATATTATTTTTATTATTATTTTTAAATTATTTTTTAATTATTTTTATTATTTTTATTATTTTTTATTATTTTTAATTATTATTTTTTTATTATTTTTATTATTTTTATTATTGTTATTATTTTTATTGTTATTTTTTATTTTTAAATTATTTTTATTATTTTTTATTATTATTATCTTTATTATTTTTATTTTTAAATTATTATTAATTTTATTAATTATAAATTATTTTTCATTTGTACATTATTTATTTTTATTATTATTTTTATTTTTTTATTATTATTATCAAAAATTAAATTATTATTATTATTATTTTTAAATATTATTATTTTCTTTTTTTCTTTTGGGTATCTTATTTTTATTTTTAAAATATTATTATTATTTTTATTATTTTTAAATTATTATTATTAATTTATTTTTAAATTATTATTATTTTTTTTATTTTTAATATTATTATTAATATCATTATTATTTTTATTATTATTTTTTATTATTAAAAATTTTTATTATTATTATTTTTAAAAAATTATTTTTAAACGCTTTTTTTTTTAAAGGTTCTTTGGGTTGGGTTTGGGGTTAATGGGGTTTAAAGTCTATCTATTTTAACACCAGGGTCTTTAAAGACGGGTTTGGGGTTGGTTAATGGGGGGGTTTAAAGTCAATCTACTACCCGGGGTCATTAAGACTGGTTGGGTTTTTGGGGTTTTAAGGGGGTTTTTTTTAAAAGTCTATTTTCTACCCCCCAGGTCAAAAAGACGGGTTTGGTTTGGTTTAAAAGGGGGTTTTAAAAGGTCTATCTACTAAAACCAAAAAGGGTCTTTAAAGACGGGTTTGGGTTTGGGTTAAGGGGTTTTTAAAGTTTTACCCAAATACACCGGTCATTAAGACTTTTTTGGTTTGGGTTAAGGGTTTTTAAAAAGTCAAATTTTCTACCCCAAAAAGGGTCTTTAAAAGACGTTTTTTTGGGAAAGGGGGTTAAAGCTTCTACTACCCGGGGTTCTTTAAAGACTGGGGGTTTTGGTTAAGGGGGTTTTTAATTTTTAAACTACTGAAACCGGGGCATTAAACGGGTTTGGGTTGGTTAATGGGGTTTTAAATCAAATCTACTCCCAGGGCCTTAAAGCCCTGTTTTTATTTGGTTAAAGGGGTTTTAAAAATTTCTATCTACTACCCCAGGGTTTTCTTTAAAGCCCGGGTTTGGGTTTGGTTTAAGGGGGTTTTAAAAGTCAACTATCCACCAGGGTCTTTAAAGGGGACGGGTTTTGTTTGGGGTTAAGGGGGTTTTTAAAAGTCTATTATTAAACCAGGGTCTTTAAGATGGTTTGACTGGTTAATGGGTTTTAAAATCTATTTTATACACCAGGGCATTAAAAACGGGTTTGGGTTTGGTTAATGGGGTTTAAATTTCAATCCCCTACCCAGGGTCAAAAAGATTTGGTTTTGGTTTGGGTTTAAAAGGATTTTAAAAGTCTATCTACTCCCCCGGGGTCTTTAAAGACTGGTTTTTTTGGTTTAAAAGGTTTTTTTAAATCAACAACTTTTCCCAGGCCCAAAAGGCCCGGTTTTGGTTTGGGTTTAAAAGGGGTTTAAATTTCTATCCTAATACAACCAAAAAAACCATTAAGACGGTTTGGGTTGGTTAAGGGGGTTTTAAGTCAAACTATTTACCCCAGGGTCTTTAAGACTTTGGTTGGTTAAGGGGTTTAAAAAAAAAACAACTACACCAGGGTCTTTGGGGACGGTTGGTTGGTTAAGGGTTTTTAAAAAGGGAAAAACAACTAACCGGGATTCTTTAAACGGGTTGGGGGTTAATGGGGTTTAAAGCCTATCTACTACACAAGGGTCATTATAAACGGGTTTTGTTGGTTAAGGGGGTTTAAAAATCAATCTACACCCCGGGCCCTTATGACGGGTTGGGTTTGGGTTTAAAATGGGGTTTAAAGTCAATCTACTACCCAGGGTCTTTAAAACTGGTTGGGGTTTAAGGGGTTTTTTAAAAGTCTATCTACAACACCGGGGTTCAAAAAGACGGGTGGTGTTTTAAAAGGGGAAAAAAGTCTATCAAACTACCCCAGATTTCTTTGGGGACGGGGTTTTGGGTTTGGTTAAGGGGGTTTTAAAAGAAAAACTACTACACCGGGGTCATTAAGATTTGGTTTTTTTAAAAAATGGGGTTTAAAAGGTCAAACTACTACACCAGGGTCATTAAAACGGGTTTGGGTTTGGGTTTAAATGGGGTTTAAAGTCTATCAACTACACCGGGGGCCCTTAAAGGTTTGCGGGTTCCCCTGGTCACCACCAGCAAGAATTTTTTAAATACCTAAACTACTGTTTAAAAGTAAACTACCATGTTTTATAACGGGAAAATACACCTGCCCAGTTTTATACACGGATAAACCCCTGTCAGTGATAAACACGAGATATACACCTGTCGGGGTATATACTTTGGATATAAAACCTCTCTTGTATATACCCCTTAAATATACCCCTTTTCCAGTGTATATAAAACTGAGATAAACACTGCCCATTTGGATATACACTAAAAAAATATACCCTCTCAAAAAAAAATTTTTCACGAAAAACCCCTCTCAGGTATATAACCCCTAGATATAAACCTCCATTGTTTATACACTTTTAATACCCCCTTCAGTGTATTTTCACGAGATATAAAACCTCCAGGGGATTTTAAAATGAAAATACACACAACAACGCACACACCCACCAACACACACCACACAACAAAACCACACAACACACCCACAAAACCACACACACAAAAGGGGAAACAGAAAAATAGGAAGACCAAAACGAGCCTTGGTTTACCCAAGGTTTTTTGGGAAGGCAAAAACAAGTGCAACAAAGAAGGGGAAAAAGGTACAGGGGGCCAAGGCCCCGGGGAAAAAAAGGGAGATTAGTAGAAAGAGCCAAAACGAGTTTGCACAGTTTAAGGGAGGGAGGCCCAGCGACAGAATGAAAACGACATAGCATCGAAAGTAAAAATGGACCCCGAAACTTTTTGTTTTGCCACAAAAGGAGGAAGAAAAACAGTAAAAGGCCAGGTGATAAGGCTGGGGCCCAAAAGGTGGAAAAAATCACAAAAAACGTTTCAAGAGGTAGTGAGGAGCTCAACACAAATTTTAAAGGGAAGAATTTACAGTAGAAAACCGGATGGACTCGGGGGGGGAACAGCCCAGATGGGGGACACCACAAGGAAACCCCCAACAGTTTTTGGGACGCCGAAATACAGTGAAGGGGGTAAAGAAACGCAAAGGGGAAATCAAAAACCTAAAAGGCAATGGGGACAAAAACACCCCCGGGGTTCCTTAGAGAGGGAGCTTTTTTGTTGGGTCCCAAATTACCACAATTTTCAACACTTTTCCCTGGAAATTTGGGCAACTCCCTGAGGTATGGAAGACGCAAAGTATTTTCCCATTTAAAAAAGAAAGGAACAAAAAAGAGGGGGCCTAAACTAAGGGACCTTTGTATTGCGTGTATAGTATGAAAAGTTAGGGAAAAGAAGTTTAAACGGGAGGGGGAGTGGTGGAGCACCTGGAACGGAAAAAGGGAGAAATAAAAGCCCCCCAGTACGGATTCAGGGAAAGGGAAAAACCTGTGCCCAAAAATCTTCTGGGTTTTAGTTTAAAATAACAAAAGTAAACACGAGAGAGAGGGGGGGGTTGGGTTTTGCACCCTTTTTTGGACGCAAAAAGGGCCTTTGCACAGTTCCTCAAAAGAGATTAGTGAAGAAGCAAGAGCCAGGGGGAAATATAACGGAAGGGAAATGAAAAGGGATCAGAGAATACCTGACAGGGGGCAAAAAGGATCATGGAACGTAATAAAGAATAAACAGGGGGCACCTGGACGAGCGGGGCCCCAAAGGGGGGTCCGGCCCCTAGGACCGTGCTTTTTTTGGTATATGTTGAACATGACGGGGGTTTTGACTCAGAATTTCCCCTTTTTTTGGCAATGATGTGAATTTAAATGAGGAAAATTAATCGATGGGGCCCCAAGGGGGAATTTAAAAGGAGACCGGGAAAAGGACTGGAAAACCGGTCCAGAAAATTTTGGTTCTCGAAAAAAAACTCCCAAATGAAAAGTAAAGAAAAAAGGGGGAAGGCACAAAAACCCACAGAAAATTTTAAGGGCCCTAGGGGGCCCAAAAGACTGCAAACCTCCTCTAAGGGAGAAAATTTTTGGGGTGAGTTAAAACCCGAGAAAGTCTCCCGGAAGAAAAACATAAATAAATAACTGCGCAGCATAGGGGCGCCTGGCAAACCTAGAACAGTTTCCCGATACCTTAGAAAGGGAAAAGTTCAAGACCTGTACCACCGGGTTTTGACAGGCCCTTTACGGGGGAGTTTTGCAGCACCTTTTTTGGAAAAGCCCCCATTTGATAAAGCACCCCAAGAAACTGAGAAAGTAAAAAAGGTTTGCCCCCAAAGGTTATTTCCAAAACAAAGGGGGGAAATGCCCCTATGAAGAAAAAAAAAAGGGGAAATGGGCCCTGCGAAAACTGGAGGAAACGGGTGGTCAGGGGGGGGAAAAAGATAACGACTTTTAAAAAAACGCGGGGAAATAGACAAGGGGGGACAAAAAACAGGTTTTGTTCCAGGGAAGGGGAAAAACAGAAAAAGGGGGCCCCAAAATTTGGGAAAAGTTGAAGAAAACAAAAAGTCGGAGATAGTGGGAAGTTTTTCTTCAGTCATAGGTTTTTTAAGGCAGGGGAATACCTAAAAATGCGTAGTGGAGGCGGGAACCTTTACACTTTTTTAAAAGACGAGGGTTTTAAATAAAGCTCATGGGGGGGGAGGGGAGAGGGGGCCCCGTAAAAACCGGGGAAAAGAGGGGGGGGCCAGGAGCAAAGGGACTCAAACCCCGCAACCAAAAAAAGGGTTGGTAAAAAATTGGGAGAAACACACACACAAACACACCCCAACACACACACCCCAACACACACACACACACATAAAAACATACCACCCACCCCACCACACACACACACACCACACCCATCCCAACCCCTTTACACACACACACACAACACACACACACACACACACACACACCCCACACCCCAACACACACCCCACACACAACACACAAAACCCACAAACACACACAAAACACACACACACACACACACACACCCACACACACACACATACAAACATAAAACAAAACAACAACACCCCACACACCCCCACCCCCCAGAAACACCGCAAAAGGGACTCCAGCCCCCAAACCCCCCCCCCAAGGAAACTGAACTTTCCCCAAACCAACCATCACCCACCAAACCCTTGTTTCCACCCCCCCACCACGTTACAGAAATTGAACAAAAAGTTAAAAGGTTTTGTACAAAAAAGAAAGGGGGTTTAAACCGAAAAATAAAAGAAAAAGGGCAAGAAAGAAAAAAAGGGAAAGCCCCCCGAAAATCATAGATTTCCCAAAAACCCCAAAACTCGGAGACCAAAAAACAGTTGAAATCTTCCCCCAGGATACCAATCATAAAAAAAGATAAAAAGGGGTGGGGGGGGGGGAGGGGGTTGCTCTGCTCGTAAAAAACAGATGGAAATTTGAGGGAAAAAAAAAAGGAATAGATGAGACAGGGGAAAAAAGGGCTACATAGCAGGTAAACTTCATCTGGGGAACCCCAAAATGGTCATTGCAGCGATGTAAAATCCACCCCAGAAAAAACAGGGGGGCCAAGAGAGGGAAAATGAAAAAAGGGAACAGAGCCCAAAGGGGGAACACTTGCCCGAGGTGGCAAGAAAGCTCCCTCCACAGAGCAAAATTGCCCGGTTAAGGGGGGGGGTTTCAAACCACAGGGGGTTTTACTGGAAAACCGGGCCACATTTGGGGGTCCCCAAAAAAGGGGACCAGGATGTTGGACTTTGGGGCTTGGGGAAAACCCCAAGCAAACCCAAAATTTTTTAAAGGGCACTACCAAGTGAGAGGTTTAGGGATGAACCAGCAAGATTGGACCCTTTTGTTTTACCCTGGGAAGCTCAACATTGAGGGCATCAAGTATGAGAGACCCCCAAAGGGGTTTGGGGACCCCCTGGTTCTGGCTTTTAATACATATAGAGGGTGCAATAGGAGAGAATAAAAAGGGGTAGAAAGGGAAAAACCTGACTTAAAAGAGGGGATCAAGGGTTGAAGAACTTTATGCGGGGGGTCCATTAGGACAGGAACTGGCAGGAAGGGCCCGTAAATTTAAAAGATGGAATAAGTAGCCAAAAAAAATGCAAGGAAGGCAGTGGAAAAAAATTTTCCCCGGGCACCCGTAACAACGGAAGAACCAGAAAAAAGCCCCTGGTTTACCCCACGGTGTAAGGAGGCAAAAAAAAAAGTGCAATAGAGAATGGAAAAAGTAAAAGAAGGCAGAGAACACACGAAAATAAAAGGGGATCATCGCAGAGCCCGGGAAAGAAATAAAGCACCGGTAAGGGGGAGGCCCGCCGGGGCAGTAAGAAAATTTACAAAAAGCACGAGAAACAAGACTGACCCTAAATGTTGTTTTTGCCCCATCAGGAAAAAGAAAAACTTTAAAGACCCGGGGATCAATTTTAAAGGGCAGAAGGTGGAGAACTCACAAGAAATGATCAGGGGGTATGTGAGGAGCTGAACAGGGGATTTAAGGAAATTTTTTACAGTAAGGGCAGGAAGGGCTGTGGGAAGACCCGCCCCAGAAGGGGAAAATCAGAGGGGAAAATACCAAAAAGTGTTGGATGGGCATACGAAAAAACTGAGGAGGAGGTGAAAAAGCCTTAATTTACCTTTACACCTCAAGGGGGGATGGGCCGGACAACACTCCCCTGGGTCCTTAGGAAGGAGCAAAATGCTGTGGTGCCCTCAACCCAATCTTCAACACATCCCTTTAAACTGGGCAAAATTCCGAGAAAAGGGAAAACAGCCCAATGTTTTTCCCCAAAAATTTAAAAAAGGAAACCCAAAAAGAGGCAATTAAAAAACCCGACCTGTGTCTCTGACTTTTTGTGTGCAAAATTTATGGAGAAAATTATCAGGGGGAGAGTGGTCGAAATCCTGGAAAGGGGAAAAAGATTATAAAAAAGAAAACCAGCATGGGTTCATGGAAAGGGAAATTTGTATTTCCCCAAAACCCCCTGGAGTTTTATGAAAAAGGTAACAGAAGTAAGAACAGAGGAGAGGGTTGGGGGAGATTGCGTTTTCCCAGACTGCAGGAAGGCCCCTTTGGGCACTTCCCCCCAAAAAGATTAGTTTCAGAAGTGGAAGGGTTTAGGGACACATTAAAAAGGGAAGGGGCCGCAATTTGGGTAAGGGAAAACCTTAAAAAGGGATGGGGAAAACAACGATTCCCGGGTTTCTGAAGAGGTTTTTCACAAATGGGGGGGGGGCCCGTTTTTCAGGCCCCGGGTCCCCACAAAGGGGTCAGTTCAACCAGTGCTTTTTTTTGGGTATATTTTGAACGACAAGAAGGAAGGAATAGACTCTGGGAAATGGGCCCTGTTGCAAATGGGCGTGAAGTTTTAAGAGAAAAATTAAAACGGAAAAGGGGTGAGGGAGGACGCAAAGAGAAAATGGAGAGGCTGGCCCGTGGTCCCCGTTTAAATGGCTCCTTTGGGAAATTAAACCAGCCAAATGCCAAAAATCAAGAAGATTGGGGGAAAGGGGGAAAGAAGACCGCAGACAGGGAAAATAGGCTAGGGGAACCCAAAAAAACAGACCCATCAGGGGAAAAAAGACCTTGGGGGGACCAAAAACACCGATACATCACCGAGGGACACATTTAACCCCAAAAAAAACCGCTGCAGCATAAAGGCGCCTGGCAAAAATGAGAATAGCGTTCCGATACCTCAATAAGGAATCGTTCAAGACACTGTACACTGTGTATGTTAGGCCCATACTGGAGTATGCAGCACCAGTCTGGAAACCCACACCTGGTCAAGCACGTCAAGAAGTTAGAGAAAGTACAAAGAGTTTGCAACATGGCTGTCCAGAGCTCAAGGAATGTGTCGAGAAATGGTTAAGGGAAATCGGACTGACGACACTGGAGGACAGCAGGGTCAGGGGAGACATGTAACGACTACAAGATTACTGCGGGGAATAGACAAGGTGGACAGAGGATAGGATGTGCCAGAGAGGGGACACAGGGACAAGGGGTCAAACTGGGAAGCTGAAGACACAGGAGAGTCAAGGGGAGTTAGGAAGTATTTTTCAGTCATTAGAGTTGTCGCAGTGGAATAGCCTGGCAAGTGAAGTGTGGAGGCAGGAACCAAACATAGTTTTAAGAAGAAGGTTGACAAAGCTCAGGAAGCCGAGAGAGGAGAGGCCCAAGTAGCGCTCAGTGAAGAGGCGGGGCAGGAAGTGGTCAGACCCCTGCACCCACAATCGGTGAGTTACAATTAGGTAGATTAATCCAAAACAAACACCCACACCCCACACCACCCCCCCCCCCCCCCCCACCACCCCCCCCCCCCCCCACACACCCCCCCCCCCCCCCCCCCCCACACCCCCCCAACCACCCCACCCCCCCCCCCCCCCCCCCCCCCCCCCCCCCCCACAAACCCCCACCCCCACCCACCCCACCCACCCCCACCCCCCACACCACCACCACCCCCCCCCCCCCAACCCCCCCCCCCCCACCCCCCCCCCCACCCCACACACCCCCACCACAACCCACCCCCCCCCCCCCCCCCCCACAACCCCCCCCCCCCCCCCCCCCCCCCCCCCCCCCCCCCCCCACCACCCCCACCCCCCACACCACCACCCCCACACCCCACCCCCCCACCCCCCACACCCCCCCCACACACCACACAAACACCCCCACTCCCACACCACACCCACACACACACACCCACCCACCCCCCCCCCCCCCCACCAACACCACAACCACCCCCCCCACCCACCCCACACCACACACACACACAAACACACAACACTCCACCCCCCACCCCCCACCCCCACACACAACACCCACACACCACCCAACAAAACCCCCCACAACACACCACCAACACACACACACACCCCACCACAATCCTCACCACACACACACACCCACACACACACACAACAACACAACACCAACACACACACACACACACAACACCCACAAACACCAACACAACACACACACACACAACCCCACAAACACACACACAACCACACACACACAACACACCCACACACACAACACACACACACACACACACACCACAACACACACAACACACACACACCACACAACACAACACCCACACACACACACACACACCACCCACAACACCACAAACACACCACACAAACACACACACACACACACAACACACACACACACACACACACACACACACACACACACACCACACACAAACACACCCACACACACACACACAACACAAAACACCACCACACAAACAACCCACCACACACACACACACACACACACAACACACACACCCACACACACACACGACCCACCCAACACACAACACACACACACACACACACACCACATCACACACACACACACACACACAACACACACCCCACACGCACACAACACACACACACACACACACACACACACACACCACACACACACACACACACACAATATCACCCAGGGCAAACAGTCTAGACCGACATAGAGGACAATGTTAACCACACCAGTCTGTCTATAACGACCGTCAGCACGTTTCTCCAGGCTGCCACCCGCTGTATCGCCCACCTGTAGAACAACAACATTAGTGAGCACGTTTCTCCAGGCTGCCACCCGCTGTATCGCCCACCTGTAGAACAACAACATTAGTGAGCACGTTTCTCCAGGCTGCCACCCGCTGTATCGCCCACTGAAAGAACATAACATTAGTGAACAACGACCCCCCCCGTCTAAAAACAGTCCTGGTGAACACCGCTGTACAGTTGGTGTACTTAGTGAACACTTGGAGGGTGTTTCTGGGGTCAGCGCCCCCGCGGGATGGTCCATGACCAGGTCTGGTTGTGCATCAGGACCTGATCAACCAGGCTGTTACTGCTGGAAGCACGTAAACCAACGTAGGAACAAGCATGGCTGGTCATGTACGTGTGTCTTGTTTCAGCTCCTCTTGAGAAAGACAACCAGGGGTCTTGAAGACAACCAGGGGTCTTGAAGACAACCAGGGGTCTTGAAGACAACCAGGAGTCTTGAAGACAACCAGGGGTCTTGAAGACAACCAGGGGGGTCTTGATGACACCAGGAGTCTTGAAGGACAACCAGGAGCTTGAAGACAACAGGAGTCTTGAAGACAACAGGGGGGGGGTGGTTCTTGAAGACAACCAGGGGTCTTGAAGACAACCAGGAGTCTTGAAGACTTCCAGGAGTTCTTGAGGGACAACCTGGGGATCTTGAAAGACAACCTGGGGTTTGAAGACAACCAGGGGTCTTGAAGACAACAAGGGGTCTTGAAGACAACCAGGGAGTCTGAAGACATCCAGGAGGTCTTGAAGACAACCAGGGTCTTGAAGACAACCAGGGGTCTTGAAGACACAGGGGTCTTGAAGACAACCAGGAAGTTTGAGAACCAGGGATAGTCTTGAAAGACAACAGGGGTCTTGAAGACAACCAGGGTCTGAGACAACCCAGGGGTCTTGAAGAAAACCAGGGGTCTTGAAGACAACAGGGTCTTGAAGACATCCAGGAGTCTAGAGACAACCAGGGATCTTGAAGGAACCAGGGGTCTTGAAGACAACCAGAATCTTGAGAAACCAGGGGTATGAAGACAACCAGGGTCTTGAAGACACCAGGGGTCTTGAGACAACCTGGGGTCTTGAAGACAACAGGGGTCTGATGACAACCAGGGAGTCTGAAGGAACCAGGGGTCTTGAAGGAAACCAGGGGTTCTTGAGACAAACAGGGGTCTGTGAAAGGGAACCAACAGGGGTCTTGAAGCAACCAGGGGTCTTGAGACAACCAGGTTCTTGAAGGACAACCAGGGAGTCTTGAAGACAACAGGGGTCTTGAAGACAAACCAGGGGTCTTGAAGACAACCTCGGAGTCTTGAAGACAACCAGGGGTCTTGACGGACAACAGGGGTCTTGAAGACAACCAGGAATCTTGAGACAACCAGGGGTCTTGAAGACCAACCAGGGGTCTTGAAGACAACAGGGGGTTCTTGAAAGACAACAGGGGTCTTGAAGACAAACCAGGGGTCTTGAAGACAACCAGGAGTCTTGAAGACAACCAGGGGTCTTGAGGACAACCGGGGTCTGAAGACAACCCGGCAGTCTTGAAGAAACCAGGGGTCTGAAGCTACAACCAGGGGTCTTGCAGACAACAGGGGTCTTGAAAGGACAACCAGGGATCTTGAAGACAACCCAGGGGTCTTGGAAGGACAACCAGGGGTCTATGAAGACAAACAGGGGGTTTGAAGACAACCAGGGGTTTGAAGACAACAGGGGTCTTGAAGACAACCAGGAGTTGAAGGACAACAGGGGTATGAAGACAACAGGGGTCTTGAATGACAACCAGGAATCTTGAAGACAACAGGGGTCTTGAAGTCATACAGGGGTCTTGAAGACAACCAGGGGTCTTGAAGGACAACCAGGGGTCTTGGAAAGACAAACCAGGGGTCTTGAAGGACAACAGGGAGTCTTGAAGACAACCAGGGGTTCTTGAAGACAACCAGGGGTCTTTGAGGACAAAGGGAGTCTTGAAGACAACAGGGGTCTTGAAGACAACCAGGGGTCTTGAAGACAACCAGGGGTCTGAAGACAACAGGGATCTTGAAGACAAACCAGGGGTTTGAAGACAACCAGGGTCTTGAAGAAACCAGGGGTCTGAAGACAACAGGAGTCTTGAGACAACCAGGGGTCTTGAAGACAACCAGGGGTCTTGAGACAACAGGAGGGTCTTGAAGACACCAGGGGTCGTGAAGAACCAAGGGTCTTGAAGACAACAGGAGTCTTGAAGAACAAACACGGGATCTTGAAGACAACCAGGGGTCTTGAAGGACAACCAGGGGTCTTGATAGACAACTGGAGTTTGAAGACAACAGGGGTCTTGAAGACAACCAGGGGTTTGAGACAACCGGGAGTCTTGAAGACACCAGGGGTCTTTGAAGACACCAGGGTCTTGAAGACAACCAGGTGTTGAAGACAACAGGGGTCTTGAAGAAACCAGCGGTCTTGAAGACAAAACCAGGGGTCTTGAAGGACAAACCAGGGATCTTGAGACAACCAGGGGTCTTGAAGGACAACAGGGCGTCTTGGAGACAACCAGGGTCTTGAAGACAACCAGGAGTCTTGAGGACAACAGGGGTCTTGAAGACAACAGGGGTCTTGACGACAACAGGAGTCTGAAGACAACCAGGGGTTTGAAGCAACCATGGGTCTTGAAGACAACCAGGGTCTTGAGACACCCAGGGGTCTTGAAGACAATCAGGGGTCTTGCAGACAACCAGGGGTCTTGAAGACAACCTGAGTTCTTGAAGGACAACAGGGGTCTTGAAGACAACAGGGGTTTGAGACAACCAGGGGTCTTGAAGACAACCAGGGGTCTTGAAAGGGGGGACAACCAGGGGTCTTGAAGACAAACTGGGGGTTTGAGAAGAAACAGGGGTCTTGAAGACAACCAAGGGGTTTTGAAGACAACGAGGAGTCTTGGAAAGAAACCAGGGGTCTTGAAAGGAAACCAGGGGTCTGAAGACAACAGGGGTCTGAAGACAACCAGGGGTCTTGAAGACAACCAGGGGTCTTGAAGCAACCAGGAGTCTTGAAGGACACAGGAGTCTTGAAGACAACCAGGAGATTGAAGACAACCAGGGGTCTTGAAGACAACAGGGGTCTTTGAAGACAACAAGGGGTCTTGAAGACAACTGGTCTGAGACAACCATGAGTCTTGAAGACAACAGGGGTCATGAAGACAAACCAGGGGTCTTGAAGACAACCAGAGTCATTGAAGAAATCAGACGTCTTCGAAGACAACCAGGAGTTTTGAAAGACACCAGGAGTCTTGAAGAAACCCGGAGCCTCGAGACAACCAGGGGTCTTGAAGGACAACCAGGGTCTGAAGACAAACAGGAGTCTTGAAGACAACCAAGAGTCTTGAAGACAACCAGGAGTCTTGAAGACAACCAGGGGTCTTGAAGACAACCAGGAGACTTAAAGACAACCAGGGGTCTTGAAGACCACAGGGGTCTTGTGAAGACAACCAGGGGTCTTGAAGACAACCAGGGGTCTTGAAGACAACAAGGGGTCTTGAAGACTACCAGGAGTCTTGAAGACAACAAGGAGTCTTAAAAACAACCAGGGGTGTTGAAGACAACCAGGGACTTAAAGACAACCAGGGAGTCTTGAAGACACACCAGGGGTCTTGAAGACAAACAGGGGGTCTTGAAGACAACCAGGGGTCTTTGAAGACAATCAGGGGTCTTGAAGACTACCAGGAGTCTTGAAGACAACCAGGAGTCCTTGAAGACACAGGAGTCTAGAAGAGCACCAGGAGTCTTGAAGGTGAACCACGGGTCTTGAAGACAACCAGGGGTCTTGAAGACACGGAGGGGTCTTGAAGACAACAGGAGTCTTGAAGACAACCGGAGGTCTTGAAGACAACCAGGAGTCTTGTCAGAGACCCAGGGTCTTTGAGGACTATAAAAAAAAAAAAAAATACAACAACAGGGGTCTTGAAGAAACCAGAGGGTCTTGAAGGACAACCAGAGTCTTGAAACAACCAGGGGTCTTGAAGACAACCCCCAGGAAGTCTTGAAGAAACCAGGAGTTTGAAGACAACAGGTGTCTTAAGACAACCAGGAGTCTGAAGACAACCAGGAGTCTGAAGACATAGGGGTCTTGGAAAGGTCAACCCAGGGGTCTGAAGTCAAGGGGTCTAGAAGACAACCTGGAGTCTTGAGCCCCAACAGGAGTCCTGAAGACAACCAGAAGTCTTGAAGACAACCAGGTACAATGATCATGTACCTGGCTGGTACAATGATCATGTACCTGGCTGGTACAATGATCATGTACCTGGCTGGTACAATGATCATGTACCTGGCTGGTACAATGATCATGTACCTGGCTGGTACAATGATCATGTACCTGGTTGGTACAATGATCATGTACCTGGCTGGTACAATGATCATGTACCTGGCTGGTACAATGATCATGTACCTGGCTGGTACAATGATCATGCTACCTGGCTGGTACAATGATTCCGGTTGTACTGGCTGTACAATGATCATGTACCTGGCTAGGTACAATGATCATGTACCGGCTGGTACAATGATCATGTACCTGTCGGTACATGATCATGTTACTGGCTGTACAATGATCATGTACCTGGCTGGTTACAATGGATTCTGTACCTGGTGGTACAATGATCATGTTCGTGGCTGCGTACATTGATCATGTTACTGGTTGGTTACAATGCATGTACCTGGTGGTTACGATGATTATGTACCTGGATGTACAATAATATGTACCTGCTGGTAAATGATATGTACCTGGCTGGTACAATGATCATGTACCTGGCTGGTACAATGATCATGTACCTGGCTGGTACAATGATCATGTACCTGGCTGGTACAATGATCATGTACCTGGCTGGTACAATGATCATGTACCTGGCTGGTACAATGATCATGTACTTGCTGGTATAGTGGTATAGATGAGTGATCATGTACCTGTCTGGTACAATGATCATGTACCTGGGCTGGTACAATGATCATATACTGGCTGGTACAATGTTCATGTACG